GGTGAGAACAACCGAGAAAGAAAAGAAACAGAAAATCAGGGAATTGCCAAGAAAGTGAAAAATGAAAAAAAAGAAATATCATTTCTAGGCAAAAGATCGAAAACAAGATAGAGGTGTGCTACACTACATTAAAAAGGAGATAGTTTTGAATATCATTGGCGTTATTTTGTTAGCCACTAACCTCTGGCCACATTACAACCTATACAAAGCCCTAATTGATCTCAAGTTTGATGCATGTGCGTGTTGTCGATCGAAAACTGTGATATGTTAAATAGTATTTCTTTAATTATATTGATATTCTTCCATGAGATATGTCCAAGAACATGACTAGTCTACTTTCTTAAGACTTTTACTCCCTTTCTAACTGTGCATGTGATTTTTCTATTGGTCATCCTCTGATCACATGCCCTTTGAGAGACAAGTCACTATAATTAGAGGGAATTTTTGCTGAGGGCATTTGTAAGAGAGGTTTGTAAAATCACAGCTATTCATGGAGGTGGTACAGTGGAATGTTTGTTATGTAACAATTCTTGTTTCTAGAAAGATCATTCCTACTACACAGGGAATTTCAAATGTCAATGTTACTGATGCTAATTTTTGCATAGAACAAATACCTATGAAAGAGGAGCTTGCGGGATGTAAGTCGAAATTGAGGGTTGGATGTCCCAACGACCATGATGCTAATTTACTTTAACCCACATACACATCTGTTCGACTGGAGTTTGTAGGTAGCTCACTGAAAACCTTCACGAGACAAACTCGTCCACTAGGGATCAGTTAGGGGTTTAATGGCTTGTTGCATATGCTAAATGCAATTGTGTTATCTACAAAAATGATTTTTTTTTATTTTTTTTATTATTACTAGGGACTAGTAATGTTTAGGTTGGGGGTGTGATTAACACTAATAAGGCATAATTTAATTAAGTTAATAGGTAAATTGTGTTAGTTAAATAAAGTTAAACTATTCAAAATAAATCAAATCAGGGTTAGTTTATGAATTAAGGATAATGCATTGATTGTTGTTCTTTTCAAGATTTTGTGTGTCAAAGCTACAAATTACTGGGAGCCAATTATCAAAGTTGCAAACTATATGGTGTCAATTGTCAAAGTTGCAAACTATACGGTGCCAATTATCAAAGTTCAAAACAAAGGGGGAGCAAAGTGCAATTCATAGCCGTTAACAAGACTTTCATCCTCCCTTGTTGCCTATAAATACACCCCTTAAGACTTGTAAAGCCATTCATCTTTAGATAGTGAAAAAACCCTCAAAAAGTATTGATTTCTTTATTTCTTGTTGCTTTCTTTATTGAATTATTGCGTTCTTTTAATTTATTGCTTCCTTTACTTTCAGTAGTGTTTTCCTTTACTGTGTTATTGCTTTTTTTTATTGTATTATTGAGTTTCCTTCTTCCCTTAGAGGAGTGAAACTTTTCCACTTTCTAGAGCTTACCAAAGCCGTGAAGGGTGGAACGTGATTCACTCATTCTTTGTCGAAGATTGACTCCTTGTGTAAAGTGTTTTACCTTGTAACTCCTCTACTTGGAGGGATGAACATCACTCACTTTTCTAGCTTTACCAAAGCCATGAAGAGTGAGTAGTTTCTCATCCAATCTTTAGTAAGAGGTGAAGGAAATGTATAATTATTCGGAAGTTATATTTGTGCATTTTGTTTATATTTAGCTTCAATCTTCATTTCTTTATAATGTCTTCTCATTACATTGTTGTCTTTACTTTAAGCATGAGTAGCTAAGTCTTTAAGTTGGCTAATCCAAGGGAGACCTCCTCTTGGGTATGCCATTTCAACTCATCTTCTTTCTTCCCCTCGGTGTACTATGGTTCGGTTTGACTGGGTTGAGTGATGACATAGTGTGAGTCTTTGATATCCCGTAGACTTGTCACTGGTTATGCTTGGATCCTCACTTCCATCTCGTCCCTCGCTTCCCACGAATCAACCGTTCTTCTATGTACCAGTGAAGGAAGGTTTTGGGTTGACTTGACATTTCCATTGGAGTGAACCCTTCGGATTAGCCAACACTTGTGTTCCCATTTCAATTTCATCACAAACCAACTTCAAACTATAAAAGATTTCACTTTCTTTTCAGTTAAATCACTTTCAAAATGATTCACATCCTTCCCCGAGGAGACGACCTTGGAATACTTTACCAAGTAAAATACGACACTCAAAAGACTCCTTGAGCTTGGGGAGCATTTTTGTTCACACGCACACACATTTTGTACATTTCATATTCTACCACTCATTTGCCCTTTCTTTTGACATCATCCCAAGGGAGAGTGACATTCCCCCCACACACACCATACATACGTTGAGGGAGATGTTAAGAGGTTAGGAACAACACGAAAATAAATCAAGCAATCACCACCTAATCCAAAATAATATAAAACAGTCAATTCATTTTCCTAATCTCGTCGCTTCGCGATTCTATATTTAATTTTTATACTTCCCACCCATTGATATATACTCAATATATATTTTACATATAAATATCCTTTCTAATATGAGGTAACAGCATATGGAAGTATTATGGACTGTTTGGAAAAAGTTTCTAAAGTTTTGAGGTCAAATCATAATTTTTGAAACTTTTGGGGTCGAAGTATAATTTTCTTAAAAACGAATTTTCTGTTTTCAGGCCTGCCATAAATTTTCCAGAACAGTATTTAAGGTTCTAGAGACCCATTTTCCAAGAATACAACCTCAATTTGATTTATTAGAGTAAATATTGATTTTTTTTTACACTTAATTGAAATTTTTAGGAGTCGTTTCAAAATTTTAAAAAAAATTTAAGACTCGGGGGCTCTTTTGACATAACCCCATATTTGTTTCAAACATATTGGATTAGTTTTATAAATTACCAAGTTCCATGGTAGTCAAAAATTGAGTTTATAAAAGTATAGAAATCAAAATAAAACTACTTAAAACTAAGGAGAAAGTTTCCATAATTTCCAAAATTTTATCTTCTTCAACCTTACGTTGTATCCTGAAGCTTGTCTGTAACTTTTCTTTCTTCCCCCTTTCCCAATATCTTCTTAACACAAATATCACCATATTATATTTGAATTTATATATTTTAATCCTATAAACCTACCCGTATGGATTACTTGCAATATTATATCAGAGTACAACATTGTATATGTGTACATATAATGATTAAATGAAAAATTAAATTTTGGTATGAAGACTAACCTTGATGATCAATCTTTTAGTTTTCTTCCTTCTTCTATAAATCCTCTTCTTTCTTTTCCTTGTTTTTTCCTTTACTCAAAACCCTAGCCTCTCTTCTTCTTTCTCTTTATTCTAACGTATGTGTAGATATTGGAAAAAGAATATATAAATCTATATGTCAGTACACTCCTAGGGCAACAAGAGAACTCCTATTAATCACACTTTTATCCCCCCCCCCTTTTTTATTATTATTATTCTTACTTTATAGTTACTATTGGTACCCAATACACTAAATAAATAAATGATTATATATATATTTAATTTAACCATAAGGCATCTACGTACACAAAATCTAAATTTCTAAATAATTTGCTATCTTTTTATTTATCTATTAAATATATACAATCACATACCTATATTGGCCATTACAATTGTACTATTTGATTCTTCATTGTGATAGTAATCTATTGATTTATACTAAAAAAATGCGTAACTGTGAGAAAATTGACTTGTGTATCTCATCCACCAGTGATTTGACCACTCATTTTCACCGGATAAATAAAATTTGATCAAATACCACGTATATAAATGAGATGCGAGATTTAAGCTATAACACTTATTGTTACATCAACTCGATCTGTCAATCATCTACGCATGCCTTACATTATTTCGTTACCCACTTAAATGTGTAAACCAAAAGGCCATTTTAGATGGATTATATCAGTTTTTGTCTGAGTTACAAGATGTTCCAAACGAGCAAGAATGTTAGTCTAGCTACTAATAACATCACTGTAAATCGTGCTTCTTTTTAGAAAGTGGATTTGCTTTAAATCACTAACTTCCAATAATGATAAATATGACCATTATCCATTGTATCTCACAAAAAGTCGAGCAATATTGGGGGCCAATGCCTCTGTAGCCCATTTTGGCGCACCACACCACCATGACATTATTGAAGTTCCATCTGCCAGTACTTTTGAGCTGCAAATATTTCCAAGTATTAAATCTAGGACTTGTTCAGGAGAAACTCTACAGAAGTGATGAGCTTCTTTCAAAGTATAAATCTGCAATTCATCCATTTTGTTTGCATCACACAATGGAGGATTTTTTTTGTGGGAAAGAAGAATGCAACTATTGAAATTGGTGTGGGTGGTCATGAGAGTAACTTGATATGTTCATTGATCGTGAGGATCATAGTGCATTTAGTTTAAACCAAAGATCAAAATTTTGGTAATTTCAATCAAGACGAATGAAAACGTTTCATTAATTTTGGTGAAAGCTGAAATGAATTTATAGTCTAACACCCAAATTTTTGTGTTTCTAATTGTCTTGAAATGCTTCAAGATATTTTAAATTAAGAGTTTTTGTTTCCAAAATATTTTCGCTTTTGATGTGACTGAAACTATCAACTAAAATGTTGTTGGGACAATGTTGAATATATCTAGTTACAACAGTATAATGTTTTCCACCTATATGCATGCACCTTTTCTTTCGGTCACCCTCCTCCTCCTCGTTTGGGGCCAAAAAAAAACAGTTTGACACCATTAAGCAATTATAACAGGAAAAACATTATGTTTGGTTGAATTTCTGAGTACTAGTTCCACTTACAAAGTGGAATTTTCCTATTTTGGCTGCTAATTGGGACAAAAATTCATCATCACATTTATATTAAAAAAACTATATAAATGAAATAATTTGGAAAACCACTCAATCTTGTCTCATTTCTTCTGTTGACTCCATATTTATATCGATCATTACCCACTGGGCCACTGCTAATAAAATAACCTCTCTCTCTCTGTCTGTGTATATAGAGTCTACACCTTGCTATCCCATCACCTCACACAACTAATGTCCTTCAGGCGCTCTGGTCTCTCCTACATTTTTGGGTAAGTTAATACTCTTAAATCTAAATCTCAAACCTTGCTTTTCATTATACCAGCCAGCCCAATTTATGTTTTGCACTGATCATCCATTCATCCTAATCAGTAGTAATCTTATCAGTCACCTTTGTTTGTGTTCGAATGTACAGACTGGAAGAAAATGAAGCTGGTGGCACTTGTTTTGATGATGATGATGGTGTGCTCTTGCTTGGCTACACCAATTAGAGCAAGAATGCGTCAAATGCATGAAAAAGAAGAGCAAAAACAGCTTGATAATGCAGTTGCAGTAGAGAGCATAGATGAAGAAAAGAGCAAAGTTAGTTATCCAGATGGCAGCATCGAAAACCACCATAGCATACCTAGACAATACTTCAATCAGCAGGGTAGTGGTTCTAATGGAGATGATGGTGATAACAATGACAATGGAAGCGGGTAACTAGACTTGAAAATGTATGTTATTATGTAATCTAGTAACATATGATGTGTGTGTAAGAATCTAGTATGTAGCTGAACTTCGTCTCTTACTATTGTGCTTCAAGCCAAGGACTAGCATATTTTGTTTATGCTTATATTATATTCCTTTGTGGCATCATAACATAAACTCAACTCAGCATGAGGTTGTATTGTGCTTATATTTAAACCAATAATGAATTGATTCCTAGATGCAATATGGGGGGAGAACCCAACAGAGTTTGATTAATATTTTCTGTCAAGAATATAGGGGACAAACAAAGATTAGACATGAATTGATTAATGGGTAATAGCGTGGTAAGCCCATTCGTGTGCCAATAGACATCTGTTTTCTTATTTCTACACTCTTTTGCCGGACACCATGCACTTCACAATTATCAGAAAACCAATCTTCCACATCCATGAACTCTCTCCAAGGTCACATAAAATTATGTACTCATGTAACTTCAAACCAAGTGAACGTATGTTTGAGATATAATCAGCAGCAAAGGAATCAATGTCAACGATTGGGCGGGGGCCTGGGGGACAGACAAGAAGTTAAAAACAAGTAACCAAGCAGAACGAAAGGATACATAACCAACTTCCATTAGATTTAGTAGTCGCACCAAAGATAATTTCTCCATTGCTCGGTTTCTGCTCACATCTAGCTTTTGAAATATTTTTCGCCATTTTTTCATTTAAAGTTTCAAGTAATGATAAGCATTGGGGATTATTTTTTGAGATCTACTCTCTTGTGATGATCAGAGAGAGAGAGTAGGAGCCTTAGCGTGAGATATTAATTTGAATATACCTCGGTGAGCAGGCTACGAGAACAGAATCCATTTTATGCAAAGTCCATCTTCCAACTAATTATTGAGAAACAACATCAATCAACATCGTCACCTCCGAAAGAGTCCACTGCCTATGATGCTTCCTCCGACCACCAGCCTCTTCACAGACTCAGCTGGAGAAGTTCCTTAGAAATTGGCACATGTATTTTTGCAAAGAAGCTGCATATATATATTCAACTCTAAAGGTTTAGACTTATGGTAGTATATTACTTGAGCATTTTCAATTCCATTAAACAGTGGTAAAGAAACAAAATATATACTTTTTGATGGGACTCTTCTGAAAAGCCTATGATGAAGACACGTGTCCTCGGGGGTTTCTAGAACAATGTTGCTCGGGTTCGAGCACCATCGGCAAAAGGCGTCCTCTCCCCAGAGGTACCTCTCATATAGGATCACATATTCGATACATTATACAACGACACGTGTCCTCGGTCACTGTGTATCTCGGAACATACCACCTCGGTCCCCGAGGTGAGCCTTCCCTCGGTGCCGAGGGTCACTCCATCCCGGACGCTTCCTCTACTCCCGGATAAAGCTACTGACGTACGGGACATCAGCCTATGCCAGTCTAGACTATTCATCATGACCTCGTCTTACACAAGTAATGTCAGAACATGCTGGAATACAGAAGTCATAGCCAATACGTGACGGACGCGTGGCATACGATATCACATCAAAAACAGGCAAACTGCATGCTGTTGCTGACATGCGCTTTGGGAAGCAAACAATTAATTGCACCCTTCTGTTGACGAGACCGCATTCAATGCGGTAAGGTTCGGATATGAAAGGCAATAAATGCTCCTATTACGGAGCATTTATTACATCCTTCCCGAAAGGAGCATATTGTACCGTCGGCATCCCGACGACTCAACATTGATTGCTCGGGACCCCGAGCAGTCAATTAGAGAAGACATTTCCCATCAAATCAATACACACGCTACCTGTGCCTGATGATCACCTACTGACCACACTGACAGCAATCATGAGCTTCTAAGGTATAAATACTCCTCCCAAAAGGCGAAGGAGGTATGCAATCACAAACTCACTACTACAAATTATCCTCATCAGTGTTTTCTCCTTCCTCTCTCTCATTCAAAGACTGACTAGACCGTCGGAGGGGATACGCCGGAAAACACTCCGGCGCCCTTCTAACTTGTTCTCCTTTGTTCCAGGAAATACCTTCCACACGTACAGGATCGTTCTTCCTTTCCCAAGGCCTTCCTTTGCCGTTCCAGGTTGCCACCGTACCTCGAAGGTTGTTTCAAGCAGCGTGTTTGGCCCCTCAACCGGCTCACTCACAGTTCACCAGGGGAGAGATCTGTTCCCAATATTTTATATATCGTGCAGGATCGAGCCCGCACAATCTGGCGCCGTCTGTGGGAAACGAGTAGTTTTCCTAATCTTTTCTCTATAAAGAACAGTGACCATGGTGAACACCAGACAGAAAGGGAAGGGACCCTACCAAAGGAGTCATGAGTTGCAAGCTCCCTGCCATCACGGGGGGAGGGATCGGACCAGTACGATTAAAAGTGCCTCTACTCGGTCAAGGGGGGTAACCCCCCAAACCAGTATGGGGATCAGGTCAGGAGGATCAGCCCCCTTGGCCCGTCAGCTGGCAGAGGTGATAGAAGAGAAATTTGGCGATAGATTACGTCAGCTGGAGAAAGACAATGTAAACGTCCTTAGCCGGCTCGACGAGTTTGCTGCCTCAGGCGGAGGGTCGAGGGATTCATTCCTCTCCCGAGGACTCCCCGTCCATGAGGCGGAGACAAAGGATCTAAGGAACCACCTGGATCACAAAGCAGAAAGCTCCAGGGCCCCGAAGCGACCCAAAGCCGGCGAATGCCATCTTGACAACCATTCCAGGAAAGCAAGGCCATTGGCCCTGGACGACCTCCGGCGAGGTTTATCCAGACGGAGGAAGGGAGATGAATCCGAGGAGGACTCAACCCAATCTACACGACGCCCAGGAAACGAGGGGCTTACCGACGAACCCAGAGACTTCAGGAGGCATCCCGTAAGGGAAGAAGTAGATCTCAGAGCCCGATTAGACTCCAGAAGAAAGGGCAAGACGATCCAGGACGAGGCCGAGGACGAAGTCATGCAAACACCCTTCACGAGGGAAATCAGTGAGATGGATGTCTCAAGAAAGTTCGTCGTGCCACGGTTCAAGACCTATGATGGGCGATCTGATCCCGATGCCCATATCAGACAGTATAAGCAGATGATGTCCCTCTATCATTCGGACCAACGGTTTCTATGCCGGGTGTTCCCTATGAGCTTGGGGGACTCTGCGATGAGGTGGTTCGAGGCGCTTCCCCCAAACAGTATTGGGTCCTGGAAAGAATTGACAAGGCAGTTCCTAACCCGATTCATCACGGGGAGTAAGCGCCCCAAGGACATTGGATCACTGCTGACCCTCAGGAGGAGGGAATCCGAGACTCTTCGCCAGTACGCCATCCGATACTGGGAAGAAGTCAATGAGGTCGAGGGATGCTCGGAGGTCATGGCAGCAGCATCCTTCCGGCTCGGCTTGGCAAGGGACACGGACCTGTACCGATCCCTGACCAAAAAGACTCCCTCGGATATGGGGGAACTGATGGCCCGGATCAACAAGTACTCAAGGGTCGAGGACGAGATGGGGAGCAACAAAGGCCGAGCCCTCCAGCCCAAGAGAAAGGAAAAAGAGCGCGAAGATATTCCCCGGAAGGGATTGCTACCCCATCCAGGGGGTTCGTCCAGAGGAGTTCACACCGTCTTCAAGGAACCCATCTTCAGGTTGCTCCATAAAATCAAACACGAGCCGTTCTTCAAATGGCCGCCCAGGATGCAAAGCGACCCCTCCACCCGTGATCAAAATGTAAGGTGTTCATATCACCGGGATGTCGGGCATCGCACCGAGAGCTGCAGGGTGTTCAAGTCATTCTTGGAGAGCTTAGTCCGAGATGGATACCTGAAAGAATACATAGAGCCTAGGCCAGAAGAAAAACGAGCCCCTGCCCCGACCGAGGAACCGACCAACATCATAGACGTCATCCATGTGTGTCCACTGGAGCGCCCCACGTCCAAAGAGCTCGAATCCGACCTCAAGAGGGTAGCTTTTACCAGAAAGGTAGCCGAAGGAGATGTGGGGCCATCAAGTAAAAGGGCCAGGATGGGTGAGCTTGGCATTACGTTCTCTGACGCGGATTTGACGGGCGTGGTGATTCCTCATAACGACGCCCTTGTCTTAACCCTAAAGATAGGGAAATTCGATGTCAAGAGAATCTTGATAGATTCAGGGAGCTCCTCGGAGGTGATGTACTTCGAGACTTTGAAGCGGATGGGCTTTGGCCCCAAAGACTTAACCAAAATCAGGACACCCCTCATCGGGTTCAACGGCTCTTTCGCCTTGCCCGTGGGGAAAATTACATTACCGGTCGCCACTGGTCCCTTCGTCATCGACACAGAGTTTGTGGTGATCGACACGGACTCTCCTTACAACGTGATTATGGGGCGAACATGGCTGCACGCGTTGGGAGCGGTGCACTCCACTCTCCACCAGAAGTTGAAGTTCGCCACGCCAGAGGGCGTCATGGAGATTCGGGGGGATCAAGCGTCTGCGAAGAACTGTTTTTATTCGGCCGTCCGAGCCGGGGCGTCCAGCCAGGAGAAGGGGCGAGCACCGGAAGAGATCATGGAAAAATAGCAATTACAGTCCGGGCGTCCAGGGATGGATGACCCCCGGGTGGACCCAGCTGAACGATCGGTTGAAGACCTCCGGAAGGTTCCCTTGGTTGAAGGAGAAGAGGAGAAGTATTTCCTAGTGGGGACCTCGATGCCCGCAGCCGAACAGGAGGAGATGATCAGGTTCTTAAGGGGAAATACGGACGTGTTCGCCTGGAACGAAATGGAAATGACAGGAGTAGACCCTGAGATCATTACTCACAGGCTTCATGTTGACCCATCTCACAAGCCAGTAAAGCAGAGGCCGCGACGTATGGCCCCGCATCACACTAACGCGGTCAATGAGGAAATAGACAAACTCCTAAGAGCCGATGCCATTCGAGAGATACAGTTCCCAGAATGGCTGTCCAATACAGTGTGTGCAAAGAAGAAAGGGGGGAAATGGCGTGTCTGCGTGGATTTCACAGATCTAAACAAGGCATGTCCCAAGGATGACTACCCCCTGCCGAAGGTGGACCAGCTGGTAGATGCCACAGCCGGATATGAACGGATGGACTTCCTGGATGCCCGAGCAGGATATCATCAGATCCCTCTCTATGCCCCGGATCAAGAAAAGACGGCATTTATCACTCCGAAGGGAGTTTATTGTTATAAAGTGATGCCGTTTGGATTGAAGAACGCCGGGGCAACATACCAAAGATTGATGAATCGGATGTTCAAGAAGCAGATCGGCAACACCATGGAGGTCTACATAGACGACATGCTGGTGAAAAGCAAACGGAGTGGTGATCATCTTACAGACTTGGCGGATACCTTCTCCACTCTCAGGGAGTATGGGTTGAAGCTGAATGCAGCAAAGTGCGTCTTCGGAGTGGAGTCGGGAAAATTCCTCGGGTATCTGGTTAGTCAGCGAGGAATCGAAGCCAACCCAGATCAGATTAAAGCAATCCTGGATATCCGAAGCCCTCGCACTGTCCGAGAAGTCCAGAAACTCACAGGGATGCTGGCTGCACTTAACCGATTCGTCTCACGCTCCTCGGATAAATGCAAACCCTTCTTTGGAGCAATCAAATGTGCTGGGAAGAGTATGTGGAGCCAGGGGTGCGAGGACGCCCTGGCTGGGATCAAAGAATACCTGAGGACTCTTCCGACCCTATCCGTCCCCATCCAGGGGGAGATGCTGTTCCTATACCTGGCAGTTTCAGAGTTTGCAGTAAGCGGAGTACTTATCCGTGAGCATGAACACCGACAGAAGCCGATTTACTACATCAGCAAGGCGCTCCTGGATGCAGAGACAAGATATCTGCCCCTAGAGAAACTGGCCCTGTCCTTGGTCACCACTGCAAGGAAACTGCGCCATTACTTCCAGGCTCACCCGATCACTGTCCTAACTGATCAGCCCTTGAAGGCAATTTTGAGGAAAGCTGAACTCTCCGGAAGGATCTCCAAATGGGCTGTAGAGTTGGGGGAGCACGACATTCATTTCAAACCCCGAACTGCAATAAAGGGTCAAATAC